ACCTGTCAAGGCTTAGAGTGCTTCATTCATTTTGTCATAGCCACATATTCCAGTCTTACTTTCTTTTTCTTTGCTCCAGCCCTGGAAGCCCTAGAAGTCATTTTTCTCTGGAGACCTAGTTTCTTAGGGGCTGTTGTTTAGGAAGTTATTGGAAGTTTCATAAAACTTAAAACTATGAAACAGGCGATTTCAGGGGACAGCCAAGATTGGGAACTACTGGTTAGCATCCTCCAAAGGGAGAGTGTTTGGTCCCACAAGGTATTTTCCTTTGGTCACCTGTATTTGGTGGCTCTGATGCATTGTTGAGGTTTAGATTTTTGTGGGTAGTGTCACTTGCAGAGTCAGGTTTAAATGCAAGCCCCTGGACTCAACCTCAGAGAGTACAGTTCTGTTGGTCTGCCCTGCATGCCAAAGTTTTGAAACAGGTGGACCCCAGGCCTTATCTGGAGAAAATGCCAGAAGTGACCCTAAGAATTAGGGGCTTCTTATGATGTTTCTATTTGATTTTATAAATGTTTTCTCTTTTGTAAAATAGTGTCAGGATACTACTGCATTCTCTAGGCATGTGGTGAGGATTCCCTTGATTAAGTTAGTGAGTTTCTTGAAAATATCAAGTGATTTAAACCCCTGTAGTTATACTGTCGTTCTGTCAAGGAGGATGTGGCATATAAAAAAAAATAAACTGTATGAGTATTGAAAGTTTTCAGTTGACCCAAAGGCTTTTTTCAACCACTGCACTATTTGTTGTTATAATTTTGTGGTCATTGAATGAACTGACCTAGTAAAGTTTTCACATGTCATAAGACCCCGGAAAGCCCTAAAATATAGATGTGTGTGCTGTTTTTGACAATTGGTCTTGGCACCTTTTGTAGTTTCTGCTATTTCATTTTTAGAGACTGTGAATATATGACATTTCCTCACCATCCAACCAGTTTTATTTCATTAAAATATGGGCCCCAGTTCTCAGCAGCTGTGAGGAAATGCTCCTGATTCATGGTTTGTCACTTCCTGGTTTCACATCTTAACCATGTACCATGTTAGTCCAATGAGTCCTTTCTGCAATCTCAAGACTCATGGATGGGAATTCTTCTTAAGAACAGTCAGACAGGGGAGGCAGTCTCTGGAGTTGCATATCCTGACTCAAAATCTCAGGCCCTTCTAGCACTTTCTAGCTGTGAGACCTCTGGTAAAATAGTCTCTGTATGCCTCCTTGGTCTCCTTGTCTGTAAAAGGGAAGGTTCAGGATGTACCCTCAAGGTTCAGTGAGAGGATTAAATGGGCTAATGCATATGAATTGCTTAGTAGTCTCTGGCACACAATAAGTGCTCAATAAATGTTAGCTGTTACTTTGCTATTAAGCAAAGCTGGTCGTGAATGGAAGGTGGTTATGAGATCTAATGAGGGAGTTGAAGGTACCTGCCTTGCTACCTGTGTTTGCCTGTGTTCCTCTAAATGAGCGCATATTCATACATTTGGATTTTGTGGTCATCATATAATATGGCAGTAAAGTAGAGACATGTCAAGTATGCCTTGTGAAGTCTGCCTTAGTTATAACTTTTTAGTAAGCCATGTGCCCCCATATCTTTGCTTATATGTTCATAAAACTTGTGTTCATTACTTCTTTCAATTATGTATAAAGAGTTAAAAAAAAACACACACGCAGTGGAAGTGTATTAAAACTTGCCTGTGAACCAGACTGTGAGTGTGGAGGTGGTAACTTGAATGAAAGGATTCCAAACCACAGCCTTGGGCAAGTCATACATTTTTTCCCTCCAGTTTCTACTAGCTATTAAAAGGAGATGACATTGTTGTCTGCATACCTCTTTGAGGAAGGTCAAGACCAACTAGTAAACATCAGTGAAATGCCAAGGAAAGGAAAACATGGCAATGACATTCTTAAATTTCCTTTAATTTGATATGGACCAAAGCGACTGAGATACAGTGCCTCCTAATGTCAAATATTGCCCCCGAGCTGAGTTTTAGGTTGGGTGGAACTGGTGAACAAGATTGAAACAGTAATTTGCAGAAGTTGAGGAATGGAAAGCAGCCTTGCAGGAGTTGAGGAGTTATCTGTAATGAGAAAGCTGTGGAGAAGCCCTCAGGCTGTGTTATGCAATGTTGTGGGAAGCAGTTAAGTACAGATTGCAGAGAACTTGGGCCGAGATGTGACCTGAATTGGTTCATCCAGCATTGGAGCGAGAGCTCTGAACTCAGAGCAAGGAGACACTGCCTCTTGCTAGCTTGGTGACCTTGGGTAAGTCACTGAGCCCCAGGTGCTTCATTTCCAAGATGCTTGCTCATTCTGGCTCTTTTCCTTTTCACTGCTGTGATTGGTAGGGCCAATTAGGGTGATGGGTGTCAGAGGTGCTTTAGAAAAGATCACGAACAATCCCAGTGTCAGAGGGAGTCGTTGTTTCAGGCTCAGTTTTCTTGGTCTTGTATGTTGGCAGTGTACTTTATAGGTCTTTGTGCCACCAGCTGAATAACCTTAGAAGCTTTTAAGAAATATTGAGTAGCCTGGCAGAGAGAGATTAGTTAGTGTGCTTTTCTTTCTGATTCCAGGCAGGGCTCTACAGATGTCCGATGGAAAGATTTGGTTCTAGAGAAATACTATTCTGTTCTAGGTCCTGATTGCTGGGTTAGTCTTGTCTCTCCTTCACCCTTTATGTAGTATTGGGTTAGATGCTACTTTTTACAAAGGATTCTGTGAAGATACTAATTTACATATAACTGAGTTTTATGACTTCAGCTAGCAATAGGTCTTCAGATGTTATTTTAAAGTCACTTTGGTCAGAACTTAGGTGACCTCTGTGGTTATGAGTGTCAGGTGTCAGACATTTGTCATATTGACTTGTTTCATGCTCCGTTTTGTATCTGCAGTTTGTTTTGAACATAACATGTAACAAATATAGCTCTTAAAGATTTATAGAACCTCATCTTACAGGGTATAGATGGGGGCAGTGGAGGCACAGGGAGTAGGAGTAGGAGATGATGCCATGATCACTCGGTCATCTGGACTCGTGGCCCGAATGAAAATCTGTATCCTGTATTACGGAGGGCTTGATTCACCTTCCTTTGTGTCGGAAGCCAGGGAAAGCAGTGGAGTTCTTTTTTAAATTTTTAAGTTCTATTTATTTCTGGCTCTGCTGGCTCTTTGTTGCTGCATGGGCTTTTTGCTAGTTGTGGTGAGCAGGAGTTACTCTCTAGTTGTGGTGCATGGGCTTCTCATTGTGGTGGGTTCTCCTGTTGTGGAGCATGGGCTCTAGTAGCATGGGGCTCAGTGATTGTGGCTCCCAGGCTCTAGAGCACAGGCTCAGTAGGTGTGGTGTATGAGCTTGGTTGCTCTGCAGCATGTGGGATCTTCCCAGACCAGGGATCGAACCTGTGTCCCCTGCATTGGCAGGCAGATTCTTAACCACTGCTCCATCAAGGGAGTCACAGCAGTGGAGTTCTTTGTCCTCAAGACGACTCTTCTGGACTTCCCACCAAGGCAGAGCCATTTGGGCGAGCCCTCTGTCCCTAGCAGAGCTGGGGGCTGCCCTCCTTGGTCCGCAGACAGTGTGCTTGGCATCTGGGAACCAGCTTGGGAGCCGTGTGTTGGTTCTTACGTAGACTAGGCAGCTTGTGGTTTCTCACAAGGGGGTGGAGTGTTTTTGCGTCATCACCCAAGTCATGGTTAGGTGACATGCTGGTTCTCAACTTCTGCCCTCTTCACTTTGTTCAGCTCTGTTCTTCCTTAGTGAGGTTCGGGAGAAAAAAAATGAAACAGAGAAAACTAGGCCACTGACTTGTGATAAATATCAATCACATCATATGTACATCAGATGTAGCCAAGGCCTCCCCTCTGTATGACATGACACTGCATGGGGGTCTCAGTGCGGCCAGTGGTCACTCCTGTGGGGACTGGCTGTTTCAGGGAAGATTAGAAAAGGAAAGGAGTCCCTGTAAGCAGTATCCAAAAATAATGTAAGCACTTCTAAATGTGCTGCCTTGAAGTCGTTGATCCCTGCGGTGTTGGAGGCCATGTGGCAGCAGGAAGGAATGAGGTGAGGTGGTCAGCCTTGAGCGATAAGCTTCAGAGCAGTGCTGGTCTCAGTTCCCCTCTCCTGTCCACTTCTTTGCAGCTTGGGCCTCCTCTGCTGTCTGTCTCTGCCCCCTTAGCCCCATCACACACACCGTGTGCATGTTCTCTCTCCCTACAGTGCATGTCTGTGGCGTGGATAGTTGCATCTGTATTTGAACAGCTTTGAACCAGGACCTCCCAGTGGAACCACACTGGGGGACTGAGATGTTGTGACTTTGAGTGTCCTTCAGTCAAGCAAAGTGTGGCCCTGGCTTTTCTCTTGATGTTCCTGGATTGGTTCTGTGTAAGCAGCCAGAGATCCTGCTAATGGATCCCCTGGGACAGAGAGAAGAGGACCGAAGTGGATTTGCTGATCCCCTGTGGGGCATTTGAAATGGTACCAAGAGTAGGCTGAAATCTAATCAGCCTTTGCTTATCAGCCTGAGTTCCAGCATGTTAAAAGGGTGATGATTAGTGAGAGAAAGGCCAGAATACTTTATCTTTTCCTTTGCACATTTGGGAAGAATTTCCTCTGCCTCGCTAGCATTAGAAGCAGACCATTCTTTTCCCTCCACTGTATCACATCAGCTTTCATTAAAAGTCACCGGCAGCAAATACAAAGCCCTGTCCATGGAAAACCGTTTAAGGCAACACTGTGCTCCAGCGCTTCAGGGGTGGGCTTTTGCCTTCTGCACCACCAGATCGGTTTCTCATATCCATGCCTTTCTGACCCAGCAGCTTTTCAAAGACCAAGAAGCATTGCTCTGCTTTCTCCTGCCTCTCTCTCAGAGACCAGAGCTGCCATGCCTCTAGCCATGTCCCAGAGAGCATATTTGAGACAAGTCAGCTTAATTTGCCTGCATGCCTGGGATGCCTCTCTTTAAAATCAATTTTTGAGACCAGAGCTGGATCTGAATATTTTCCTTTTCCAATGCAGGCGAGCGACGGAGGCGCCGGTGCCAGGTGGCATTCAGCTACCTGCCTCAGAACGATGACGAGCTCGAGCTGAAGGTCGGCGACATCATAGAGGTGGTGGGAGAGGTACGTGTGCCAGGCGGGTGGGTGCAGGGCCTCTCATGGACTGTCAGAACCCACCCATGGCTAGTTGGCTTTGCTGTGGGGGATGTTAGGACTCAAGAGACCAGGGACATCATCCGGTTGAGTCTTCCAGAAGAGATTCCTCTAGAGAGGTGTGCCTCCCAGCCCGCTCAGGGCAGATGTGGACCATTTAAAACCATGGTCTTCTTCACTGCATGCTAGCCAACACCAACCCAGTACCATAGCTTTCCTTCTCTGCTTCAAGTGCTCATAGACTCTCAGTATCCAGAGTAACCGTGTCCACCTTAAAGGATGGATTCAGTATTCATCATGGGGAGCACTCTGGATTCAGAAGGAAGGAAACAAGTGACACTGATAGAAGACCTAGTATGTGATGGGCATGACAAGGTTCTTTACACGTTGGTCCATTGACTCTTCATAACCACTTTAGTTTATAGATAAAGAAAGAGGCTTGAGAGACCCTAGAAGAGGCAGGGCTGAGGGTTGAAGCTAGGTTCACCTGGCTGGAGACCTTTCTTCTCTCACTGCCCTACATTACCTTGTCCCTGTGTGGTCCCAGCTGCTTGCAGCCAGCCCTGCTGGTGAGGTGTCCCACCAGACCCCGGCACTGGATTTTGGGGCTCTACTCCCTCAGGCTGGGGGCATCCTGGGCTTCGCACTTAGAATCTGATCATTCATCCTGATTCAACATGTGTATCTGTGTATAGTGATAGTTTTCCAATTGCTTTCATTTCATGCATATCATTTGACATTACAAAAACCCATGATTTATAAAACAAACAAACAAACAAACTAGGAAGCCAGAAGTCAAGAAGGAAGTTAAGTGAAGTATGACGTGGGTGGGAGTGGCTGGGCTGATGCCAGCAGACAAGATTTCTGGATTCTCATATAAACATAAAGGGAAGCACGCATCAAAGCTTTATTTAACTCATTAATGAGGGCATCTGCAAGATGGTAAGGCTGACTTAAAGAGAATGGTGAAAGAGCAAAGTGTTTATAAATGACTGAAAGAAAAAAAAGCTTGAGTAAGATTGCTAAGTTAGATGTGAAACTACGTTACGTCCTACAGGGCAGTGAGACTGGGACCTCTGAGGTCATCTTTTCTAGGGGATGAATCTCTTTCTCTTTGCTGGTCAAAGGTTATTTTCATGGTTATCTGACAAGACTCATTCACTTTGTTTTTGGTCTTCTAGCAGTTAGCATCTGCACTAACACAGTTGTAAACTGTCCTCATAAAAAGTAAACAGTGTGTCAAGCAAAGATACTTGTCCCTAGAGAATCGATCAGTGAGGTTCCCAGTGTGGGAGGACATGCAGTAACTTGCTTTTTGCCAGTTTCCCAGTTTTGGATAATTTGAATTAGTATGTTGTTCATCATGTTTTATTCCTGGTGCCAAGCACAACATATAGGAGACATTTTTTGAAAGCTGAATGAGTACCAAATGAATGAACAGCAGAGTAGAACATTTGTGCCAGTGGTAGAAGGGCACAGTTCTTAAGACTGAAACCAGGGAAGAAATTCTAGGGGGAAAAAATAAATGGTTGTGACTAATAATAATAAAAAAAAGAGTTAAAATTTTGGTATGATTTGAAGTGAGGATAGCTAAACAAAGAGGACAACAAACAGGAAAAAATTTGAAAAAATTTTATTTATGTAACATATGAAAATATATTAGGAAGCTATTATAACAATGATAAAGGATAGATCTGCTATAAACAGACATCCCACAAGTGGAAATAAAAATCTGAACCATGAGAAAGTGTTCTAACCTGCTACTAATTAAATAATCAAATAAAGACAATTTGATTGGGTACCTCCTTTTGAAAATCCTAAAAAAGTGAGAGAGTGGTAAGACTTGGTAGTGATTAGAAGAACTGGTGACTTTGTATATCTTTATGATCCTTGTTTGATGCTATTTAGCAAGATGCATCAAGAGCTATAAAAATCTGAATTAATACCCTTGATTCATTAGTCTTACTCCTAGAAATTTATTCATGGAAAATGGTTACAGAAAAAAATTATGTTAAACATGTTAATTGCAGCAATGCTTGTGATAATGAAAAAATCATCAAGAAAGGGAATAGTTGTGTGAATTAAGGTATATTATCCAGCCAGAAGATTGTGAAGCCTTTAAGATGGTAAATACAGAGGCCTTTATATTTATTACAATACTGTGTGTTGTAATTATCTGTTTTATTCCACTAACCTGAGAGCTTTTCAACAGCTGGCATCTGGTTTTTATCTATCTTTATATTCATAGTACATGGATTAGTGCCTGAAACCTAACACATACTTTAATAAATGCTTGCTGAATAAGTAAATGAATACATGGAAGTATGAAAAGTTTTTTTTTTCCAAAATAAATGAATAGATAAGTCACAAAATTGCATTCACTAGGAATAGTTGAATATAATTGTCTGAAATCTATCTCAAGGCATGTGACTGAAGACAGAAAGAGCCCCAGAATTGAAAGTGGTTCTGCCATAGAAGATGGTTTTCCCTTTAATGTTGTAATAATACTGTAAGAAATACAAATCAAGATAAAAGTTCTTAATAAATTTCTGGAATTATTGCTGATTCACATCTGTCTGTTGACTGCAGGGGAACCGAGTGAGGGTCACTAAGGGAGAGGAATGATTGCAGGGCTGGTGTTCTCCTTGCCTGAAAGAAGAGCTTCACCAACCTCTGTGGGCCCAGCCTCTTTACCATCCATGCCCGTTGAGTCCTAGGCTTTGTCCTGCGCTTCCCTCAAGTAGAAAAAAGGAAAACTAACTGGGTAGCCTCTGCTATTTCTGTAAAACAAAGCATGAATGTTTACCTTTTAATCCATATTTTTAAATTATATCACCAAAAGTTAATTTCTCTACTTTTGAAGTTTATTCTAATATTGCAGATTCTGGGCCATTATCCCTGTATCGTATAAAGTCTGTCCTTTTCTCATATAACAGATGTTATATAAATACCAGTAGGTTGCTACTGTCTAATGCTACTGAAGACTAAAAACAAAATAAAAATCCCAAATAAACAAAATCCCTTAAATCACAGGAGCAGATTGTGATAAGACCATAGTAACAGTTTTGCAATACTATAGTATCAATCTGTTTGTCAGGAGAAAGATAACGTATTGTGTGTGTGCATATAGATTATATTTTTATTGATAAATTGATTCATAGATTAATTCTATAGTGTTACAAAGCTATACACACACATGCCCCTACTGCCCCCCTGCCCCCAAGAGACAATTCCTGGGAGGATTTTGAATGTATGGACCAGTTCCTGAGAACAGTTGAAGCAGGTAGAGAATCCTAAAATATGATATACGTTTATCTTAACATGTAATCTTAGTTTAAAAATATAAACATGTATATTCATCTGCCTCTTAGGGCCAGGGCGTTTCCTAAACTATGTGTTTGTTGGTTTGAGCTCCACCTTCTCTGCATCCATGATGCATCCTCTACTATTCCCACTGGTTTCTTTAAACTTTTTGGAAGTAGGAGTGCTATATTACATGGCATGTAGGATCCTAGTTCCGCAACCAAGGATCGAACCTGGGCCCCTTGCATTGGAAGCATGGAGTCTTAAATATTGGACCACTAGGGAAGTCCCACCACTGGTTTCTTTGAAGTGGATTGAGGACAACTTAAGGGAAGCAATGAGGGTTAATAATTCTTCTAAAATTCCACACTCCCTCACCTCCCGAACTTTTAGTCGTCTTTTCTATACCTAATTTGGCACCATGTTTCTGAATGTTCAAATTATAATCATATTCCTTCTCACCACTAGCTTTTTGTCTTCAAACCTACGTACTTTGTACTCTTTAACCATATTGTGTGCTGGCAGGAAGAGCAGTGAACTGAAGCAGGTCTGGGTGGACATGGCCTTGACCCTTGGTGAGGGGAACAGCACTTCTGCCCGAAGTTACCAGCTCAGCCTGGATGGGTCTCTGCAGCGTGGCCGGAGGAGAAATGGAGAGTGTGGGGCGGTCCAGGGATGAGGGGCGCTGGCAAAGTGAAGGTCACTCAGCAAAGTGCTTCTGCCTCCTGGCTAGGGAACAGTCAGTGGTCTGCAGGGAGGACAAAGGTTCTTGTGAAGTTAATGGGACTTCACTTTCCAGAAGGAAAGCTAGCAGGCTAAATGCCTGGTAGGCATTTTTAAGTATACAGTTGTGACATTTCTGTCTGGAGTGGGGTGGACTGGTCAATGCAGTCTAGATTAGCCTGTAGACTAACCTGTAGCCAGTTTGTGTGTGTGTGTTCCAATAAAGCTTTATTTACAAAAGTAAGAGCCAGACTTGCCCCTGCTCCCCCACCCTTCATTCTACACTTACAGAGAAGGGCAGTGGGATGGGATGGGGAAGCTGATGTTTATAGGGTATTTACCACATTCCCGGGCACTGTGCTAGTATCTTCATACATGATATTTCATTTGGTCATCACAGAAATCACTGTCTGGAAGGTGTGATCAGTATTTGTATTTTGTAGCTGAGGAAACTGAGGCTCAGAGAGGTTAAGTAACTTGACTGAAGTTGCTCAGCTGTTAACAGGATCTGATATGTAGCTGTTTTGAAGGACAGGACTTTCAAGCATTGCTGAAGATGTCTGTAAGAGCCATACCAGAAACCCTTGCCACTGTCAGGAAAATCGTGGATATATTGCTCTCTCTCATTGAACAGTGCTTAAGTCTTAAATATGTATCATATTTTCTTAAGTCATTACCCTACAGGTTTTTCTTTTGATGGACCCCTCTCATGTGGAATAGGCTTGTTCTCAGAAGAATAAGGGGAGGGGATAAAAATCAACTTCCTCTCGATATGGTCCTGCCCGGAGAGGTAATCAGACAAAGAGACGTAGCAATTTGGGGAAAATATTGACTTGGGCATTAAGAACCTAGATAACACTTGTTTATAGTTGGCACAGCCAGCTTTCCATGTCCCCAGATCAACAAGTATGGTTATTTAAAGCAATGAAAATAGAAAATAATGT